GCATGGTTCAAAGCGTGGGGAAAAAGTAGTGACTTATAGTCTGGAAAATCTGGTAAATTATTATTTCCTCTGATGGACATTTTGCGTCCCTTGTTTTTTTTTGTTTTTTTTTATCCATGTTAATTAGGGGGGATTTCAGTATATAGTGAAATTTGGAATATCGTGATAACATCGTATCATGACCAAAATATCACAACACACATGCCAATACTCACCCCTAGTTATCAGGTGGAACAAATTTCATCTAATAAACCATTAAGCAACAATTAATCACAAGTCCACTATTTATTTACATCCCTACTCTATACCATTTCTGATACCATGGGGATAAAAAGAAAAACACTTAGAAAATATTTCTAATAACATAATAAACTCCTTTTTTTCCATTTCAACATGGCGCTTGCTTTCTCAACAGAATCACAGATGCTGGTCAAATAAGTCTCCAAATAAACGCAGCCAGAGTTCATGATTTCAAACATCTCTGCAGAAACGATTCATTTCAAAATGTACAAAAAAATCCTTTGTTATAACTCTAGGTTCTTTCATGTTGGCATTTTGATACCAACCGTCACAAGAGGAAATGATCCTGGGTTGATGAGTTTTTCATAAAAGCCTGTTTCACAGATATAAAATGTATAATTTTTTTTTTTTCAAATTCAGTATTAAAAAACACTAAAGATTCATTTCTGGATTGCTTTTTCACCAAAACTTTCACTTTCAAAATGTGTTATTTATGGGGTGCCGTTTCTAAAGTAAGCAGTCAAAAATTAGGAGCAATACTTATGGTTAATTAAGGTGTATTAAGACAAAAATAAGGGGGCTTATTTTTTTTTTTTTTGCAAGTCATTTTTTTCACTGTCCTTCATTTATAAAAATCTTATCCTGCTAAATAAATGTTTAGTTTGCAAATTAAATATAAAGTTTGTTAAATAAATATTTAGTTTGCAAATTAAATATTTTGTTTATGTAAATATTCAAATATTTAGTTTGCTATTTAAATATCTAGTTTGTTAAATAAATATTTAGCTCCAAATTAAATATTTAGTTTGTTAAATAAATACTTAGTTTGCAAATTAAATATTTAGTTTGTTAAATAAATATTTAGTTTGCAAATTAAATTTTTTATTTGTTTAACAAATATTTAGTTTGAAGCTAAATACTTAGTTTGCAAATTAAATATTTAATTTGTTAAATAAATACTTAGTTTGCAAATTAAATATTTACATTTTTAAATAAATTTACTTGAAGCTAAATATTTAGTTTGAAAATTGAACATTTAGTTTGTTAATTAAATATTTAGTTTGA